TAATCTTACAACTAGAGTTAATACACCATCCTCTCCTCCACACCCGAGAGGGCAGGCCCCCTTAAATAAATCCTTAAATATGCCTAATTATATATTTTATTATAATATTTGTCATCTGAAATATTGTTCCGCGTACCGAACAGGCTCTGCTAGAATATCAGCGTTGATGTGGCACGTTCGCATCAACACCAGCTGAGGCAGAGTCCTGGTTGATCTCACTTTCTTTCTTTTTATATGTCATTATGTACCTTATTGTTTCTTTTTCTGTTTCTTTTGTGTCTTTATTGTGCTTTATGTGTTTCTTTTAACCGTGGGAGAGCCACGCTTCGGCATGAATGGGCCGGCTCGACCGGAGTGCTCCACGGCCTCACATAAAACCGACGTGAAGCAACGCTTGCGTTGTGTTTCGTCGTGTGAGTGAGGGTACCGGAGGTCCAACCCCTCCCTATTCCCTTCCCTCTACCCCTCAACCCTTCCCTCCCTATAATCACATTCGTCCCTCAAAGGCCGGCAGCGCGCTTGTAGCCCCTCTGGTGTTGCAGGTGTACATGGGCGACGGTAGTCACTTACCATCAGGTGATCCGTCTGCTAGTCTGCCCCCTGCCCCATAAAAAAAAAATGTACTATCTTGTTTGTGCCTTTGTGAGATCAATAAATGTTTCTTCTTCTTCTTCTAATACCTGGTACAATACTTATCTTCGCCTGCGCAAATTATAGCTCTCACGTATGATGTTACTTCCCGTAGGTGAAAGAGTTTTCTTTACATAATTTTCCCACAAACACGCAGACTCAGAAACCTCTCTTAATTACCTCTTTATAATATTAGTATAGATTGAAAATACCGCTGCCGCTTGTGTCTTGTATCTGATAATACCTTTCATTACTGTGATATATGGTGTGTACGCATAAGCGATCGTTAGGAACATGAGAAAATAACATCCCCACTCTCAGTGAACGCGTACATTTTGTAAATGGAAAATAACGTTAATGACAAAAATAATATACCAAAAATTATAGCATTAATATTAACTGAGCTGCTAACGGTCAACGCCCACTTGATTATTGACTTTCGATCAATAACATTATTTTATTTGTATTTCTCAATATGGAAAAAATAAATGATATTATATACTGGATATTTTCCCGCTTTTTCGGTTGCCTAATATAGAATAGCTCGGTGGCGTAGTGGATAAGCGCCGCGGCCCGCGATCGTAGTCGTTAAGCAACTTTCGCAAGGGTCGGTCACGGGATGGGGGACCAAAAAATTATTATCTCGAGCTACTCCGTGCTTCGGAAGGCACGTTAAGCCGTTGGTCCCCGGCTGCGTTTGCAGTCGTTAATACCCTCCAATCCGCATTGGGCCAGCGTGGAGGGTCATGGCCCATCCTCCTTAACCATCCATAAGGAAGGCCTGAGCTCCTGCAGTGGGGACGTAAAAGGGCTGGTGATGTCAATATAGCCTAGTTCAGCCGCCTAGTTTCTTTATTATTTATTATTATATGCTTAGAAATAAATCCTTTATATATAATGAATCGGGTCGATAGAAATAGGTTTTGTTGGTTGGTATAATCTATAGTAGTTCTTAAACAGTATAAGTAATTCTCAAACATATTCTAGGCCTCTGTTAAGCAAATTTTCGTGTCTGATACTCTAAAACAGTTTACTTACTTTACATCAACTAAGCGTACTATAATCTAACATCATATAATCTATAACACTAACTACACTGAAAAAAAAGATTTTGGGATTTTCTTTGACCAAGAAATTATTTGCTCTTGAACATTTTTATTTCCATCCAAGAATGTTTGTTTTGAGGAATAGTCGACATACTTGATTTAAAAAAATCATTTTCTTCTACAAAACGAGAGGCAAACATTTTGATTCAACAGAACTGCCTTTCCAGTAAGTAAATTTGTTGCTTTTTAATCAAACTTAATTCATTCCTTCCATTCAAAACCATGAATTCTTAATTTAAAATAAGTCATTTGTTTTAAAATAATCTAAGCTTTTAAACTGATTACGTAACATTTTTTCTATTAGAGAAACTGCTTGTTTTAAAGGAAACATAATTGGTTCAATGAAGATTATATTTCTTTTCTTATAAATAATTCATACAACTTCAGGCTAAGAATTTTAAATTCTTGTAACCAGACACTCATTTTATTACACAGAGAAAATGTATTTTTTAGTGTTAAGAAACCAAAATTATAGTGTCAACAATTTGAGTTTTTTTATCCTGTTCAATTATCTTTAACCTAAGAGCGTGAATTTCTTAACTGGAAAGAATCGAAATAGTTTTCTCAAGAAATTGATATTTTTATCTCTAGAAAATCGTATACTTCTGTATAAGAAAATTTAATTAATTGTCGTAATGAAACAAAATTCTAGCCTCGAGAAGTCTGTATTTTTACTAGTAGTAAACCGCGTAGTTCTATGTAGAAAATTGTTTTTTTTGTCACAATGAATCGAAATTTTAGTTTCAAGAATTTGGATTTTTTATCTGTAAGAAATAACATTTTAGCTAAAGAATTTTTGACTACGTACACAGAAAAGTCAAATATTTTCATTGAATTGAGTGGATTACTTAATCGTACAGATTATCTCTGATCTCAAGAATTTAGGTTTCGAACAAGAGATATTTAATTTGATACAAACACTCAAAAGCTTCGCAACATTTGTTTAAAAAAAAATTAAATTAGTTTGACCAATCAGTGGTTTACGCATCCTCGCATCTATCTTCTTTTCGAAGAGATGTTACCCTGAAAATAGGTAGGTATTATCGATATCGATTGATATTCGTGAAGGATTGAGTCTTACGTCCAACAGTGACCGATTTCGGGCTATTGATGATGATATTAAATGGTAAGTCAGAGTCTTTATGAGAAGAAAAGAGAATCGTCATTAAAATAATTTTAGTTTTAAAGTCTATCAACTTAATGAGAGATGCAGTAAACAGAAGTAATTAAAATTTAATTTTAAATTGTATGACTCAACATTGTTTGTAACTCTCTTACTTAGAATTATTTCTTATTGGCTTTTTACCCGATTGCGGCAAAGTTAAAATGGAAGATTATGTTTGCATAATCTTCAAGCTACATAATTATGTGGGTATAATAATGCTTATAATTGTGTATGAAAGTATGTTTATGTTTACGTATGTCTACCACAAAGCCTCTACTAAGTTGATTTTGACATTAAACTGTCAGTCGATGTGATTTGTGACTGTTTATGCAGACAATCTCATCATAATTATGATGAATGTTAGTAGAATACTAAGCGGAGACCGACTGACCTGACTCCCATTTTCCAAGATCTGTCAGTGCCTATTACTTACCAATGGCCTAGATATTCTGGGTCTCCACTAAATCAAACGCTGAAACTTTTTAATGTTAAAGAGACAGCAAACACTGTCGCCTATTAACACCTTCAGGATCAAGTCCCTCAAATACGTTGCTGCCCCTGGGGTCTAAGATGGAATACCCTCGAATGTGATCCTGTAATAACATTGCACCTTTCCCACCAGACCGGAGCACAGCGAACTTCTTTGCGGCAACACTAATAAAGGCGATGGTCCCCATCCAGACGGTTACTACCACCAGCTACGGCCAAAGAGCTCGGCTTCCAGTGTGAAGTTAGGCGATACTTCTCGCAAGGACAGCTTTTAAAACTATACAAGTCCGATCATGCATGGAGTATTGCAGTCACTTGTGGGACGGCTCTGTCAAGTATCAGTTGGCAGCTTTGGATTTAGTGTAGCGCCGCGCCGTGACCTTGATTTGACGCGCATTGACTTGAGGGCAGTTTTAAACATTGGCTAGAGTGGTTTATCGGTATTTTATAAGTTGCATTTTGCGGTCAAGAGCTGTATAATCTTATACCACCTGCTCCCTTCCATTACTGAAATTCAAGGCGTACACCGGAAATGCACCCTTACACTGTGGATATTCAACCTATCCGTACTAAGCGCTTTACCTCATCTTTCATAATGCGAACCACACAAAAGAGAGTAGAACAAGCAGCCAAGCTCGGTGTTCCCGGAAAGGACTACTTTTTACATAAATCAATAAATAGGCATTTTTTGAGCCCAAAAATAATGTTTCATGTTTCTAACTTAAATAAATTACGGTCTTCCATACAAGCTTTCAACCCCTATTTCACGTCCTTAGGGATAGAATTTGCAAACTTCCTTCCTTAGTGGGTTTCTACTCAATAAAACAACCCTACTCACCAAATTTCATGGCTGAAACTTTAAAATTTTTGACCGGCGATGATAAATCAGTCAGTCATTCAGGACATGTTATTTTATAAGAATAGGTAAGATAGAAGATACACATATACAAAAGTATTATATTATAATTTCTAAATGAAGTTAAAGATATAAGATTTCATTTGAAATTCCTCTGATCGATAAATAAATAAAATAGAATCATTTATTATTTTTCTTTTACGAAACCGGTTACGTAGCTTTGGTCTCGTAAAGGCCGAATGGAAAATATTGATTTTATTAACAAGTACATATTGCAATAAATGTTAGTACTTCGATTGACCGACCTTTGCTCGTTTTAATTTATACTCATTGGCTTAGCCCTACTGAACTAGCTTTTAAATACATATACGTACATATATGCGTACAAGAACTGCTTGTAAAGGTATTATGCAGATAGAATCGAAAATATCGATAATACTCAGGTATCGATTTTTTTTGGTTGCGTATCACTATTGACTTGACCACGACACGACACGTTCAGCGTTACTTTTAGTTTTTGATTACCTATATTCTCTTTGGTTAGGTACTTTTTTTAGATATTGTTACCATAGAGATCTTAAAATATCTATGAATCTTAGTTCTTACTAATTTGAATTTGTATCACGCGGGATCCAGCGGATAACATATTATTCTATCTGGTTAACCGACGCAATCACTTTCTTATTATTTATTTTTTCTTATTCTTTAGTTGAAGTGCGTTGTTATTTAATTGTCACCCTAAGTGTTGTTTGGTATGGAGGAGTCAATAGAAGACCTTCTAACACGGTGGGGAATGCCCGCCGACGTTGTGACATTCAAAAGTAAGTACAAAACTTCGTTACAAAGTACCTATCACTCCATCTTGAACGTCAGAAAGTTATAGGTCGGAGCCCTAGCAGTGGTGACATACTCGTAAATGTGTGAAAAGGTATTGGACTTATTTATGTGCATGAGGACTCTTAACCAGGTATTTGTTGCCATCTTCCTCTCAACTGATGCGTGTTCATGTGGATTTTGCACGTGTGTACCTACCTATTTTTCGTTAGTACCTATTAAGTTGAGGCTTATGGCACCGCATCATGACTGCCGGTCATTATATTTCAAGACGACTGCCCGTTAATTCGTCCGCGTCAATTTCAGTCTCCATTTTCAGTGGGTTTTTCCCAAAATCCTTTAAAAGCAGATGCCTACATCGTACTCTCGTACATCGTAACTTGTAATCAAAATAGCGATACTTTTTAAGGGTGAGCACTGAGCAGTGTATACTGATAATGTATTTTTATCCATTAAAATCTATTACTTCATGAAAGTAATTATAAAATGTAAAGTTAATGTTAAAATTAATAAAACAATGTCACAATATCTCTTTCACAAAATGTCAGACATTCATTCAGCTACACACTCCGCCATTCACCCACCAGTACGTCTCACTGCAGCACTAAGCCCGAGAGCTGGTTAACTTGGTCACACCCTGCAATGAGAGGGGTATATTTGTGTGCTTTAATCTGTTTGATCTCAAGATAAAAGTGGAGGCCTGAGTACATAGTGGTTCCTCAAAAAACTATCTATAATTGAGAGGCTGTAGAGCCAGGAAACCATAGCAGCCCTGCTAGCCAGTCCACTTCACCCCGAAACAAGCTAATAAAGTAGTTTCTTCTGTTGAGCAATGTGCTTGTTTTGTAACTGGATGGCTGTGCTTATTTACCACTCCATCTGTCTACACTGTCTTATTACTTTTATGTCCCTACTAATGTAATAATGCTGTCCAAATAATTACAACAGATAACGGGATTGAAGTATGTCATTTGAACAATTTATCTGATGACAACCTAAAAGAGTTATGTTCTCATATGGGCACTAGAATTAATCTGAAGAAATGCTTATCTGAATATAATGATGCACAGGTAATATATCTTTGACTATTTAAATGCCTTTTTACATTTAAAATAATTTTTATAACTTAAGGCACTGCTTCTGATGCAACAAATGTGATGTACCTTCAACTGAAAACTTTCCCCGAGGAACAAGTTTAAAAAGAAATTATTGGTAAAAATTATAGTATTGACCTTACACAACATTCTGGATCTGCTGATCAATTAGTATAAAAATTTAAATAAATTATATTATTTATAAACATATTTTCCTTGGGAAAAGTTTTTCGGTTTCAAGCTGCAATGTGTATGTTTTTTCTTAAAACCTTTACAAAGGGTATGCATGAGAAAACTCAAAGCAGGTTTAAGTGTATACAATATTTTTTATTATGCATAGCGTTTTACAGAATAGTCAGCTTAACAGTTATTTTTTTGTCTCAGAAAATTTTAGACCTAGGATAGGTCATGGCTGTCATTGAAGGCCATTAAACATTGTTATATTTTCTTAACCTCTTCATCTTAACACAAGGTTAAGAAAATATAACAATTAATAACTTTTTATGAAAATATAAATAAAAATAACTTGTTATGAATACTAAATTAATAGAGTTGGTTTGTTTATAAGTAGTCATTAGGTTGACTTGCAAGTGAAAATGATTGGGTTTTATGTGCGTTAAAAAATTGTTGTGTATGGACGCTAGTAATAATAAATGGATAATTATGGAATGCTAAAATGTTGGTTGTATTATAGCCATACTCAAAATTTTTGATAGTGTAATATTATGAACAATTCTTTCAGATTGATGAAGATTTTAAAAATTTATATCCAGGAAAAGAAAAGGAATTCGAAAATAAGTGGCAAAAGTTTTTTTATAAACTGATAGAATTAAAAAAATCAGAAATAAGAACTGATGATTGTAAAGAAAAATTATTAACTTCACTATCTTCTATGACAGATGATGGTAAGAAAATGGTAGTATTTAATCGTAGACCAAAATATATTATGAAAAGTATTTCGATTTTCCACCAAAAATATTCATTGCACATCAAAAATCCTTACACTTTTATTGTACTTGTCTATAAAGCATTTTGTGTCATTGTATTATCAAAATATAAAATATATTATCAGTTTGTTTTCTTTCAGAGCATAAAATTCCATCGCAACTAAGTTTGATGATTCATTTGGTGCCCCCTAAAGGCAGGAGCAGTCAAAAAAAGAAGTTTTCTATTCAAGAATGTATGGATAGTCTTATAATAATAGTAGAAGTAAGTACTATAATATTATTACTAGTGCTTGGCGGGTGTTTCTGGTAGTGGGGATGGCAGCGGGGGTGGTGGCATTGACAGTTGTAGCGGTGTTTATTGTGGTGGTGGTAGGTTTTTTATTTCATTAGGACAGCAAACAAGTTGACAGCTCACCTAATGGAAAGCAGTCACTGCCGCCGCACTTTCAGCTTTGAGTCCTTCAAGTGCGTTCTCTACCCTGGGACTTAGAATAGAATCAAAAAAACATCTCATATTGATTATACACTCTGCTTTATAGATAAATCTTTATTTTCAGAATCCTGGAGATCTCACAAAAACCATAGAAGATCAAAAAATAAAAGCAAAAAAGTTCCCTGTTCAACCATATATAATATTATTAGGCAGCCTACAGGACGTCAAGCAATTGTACTTAGTGATGGATGAAATTAGGTATACGTTTGTGTCTCCTTTAAAGGCTTTTGACACATTGTTTAAGGTTTACCATGTTTTTAATGCTAAATATCCGAAATCAAGCGACCATATATTATTAATAATACAGAGATGTATTTATGGTATCATAACTAGGTATGACAACGTCGTGCCTTACATTACCGATGTATTGTTATTGTAACAAATTGATTTTTAAGATGGATATTTAGTTTAAAAAAAAAAATCATAAAATATTAAGTTTATAATTTTTACATAGAACTTGTCATTAATAGTCAAACATGCATTGCACCATTTGTGGTAAGGTTTTTGACACTTTTAACAAGTATACAATTCATTTGAAGCTCAGTGGTTTCCCAAGAAAATCCTTATCTGAATAAATTCATGTTATGTCATGTCAATTGTTGTTGGAGTGGCTCAGTGTCGGAGTCAGATTAGAGTAGTATTATCGGAGTAAAATGGTGTCGAAGTACGAGGGTCAAACTGAAAGTTCTTAGAAAATCAAAAACTGATTACATTAGCCAGTTATTAGTTTTATTATATCTTTTCAAAATATTGTCCATTCACGTCAATACACCGCTGCATGCGATGGAACCACTGGGAAAAGCACTTTGCCCACTCGTCCTTAGGGGTCTCTTCAATGGCATCGCGATACGCAGCCACCGCTTCTTCAGCATTCATAAACCGCTTTCCTTTAAGTTTTTCTTTAATTTTTGGAAATAAATAAAAATCACAACGCGCGAGGTCGGGGCTATACGGCGGGTGACCCAGTAATTCAACGTTTGATGTCGCCAAATAGTCGATCGTTCGCTTGGTGGTGTGCGACGAGGCGTTGTCGTGGTGAAGGAGGATCCTACTGCGAGGTCGTTTCTCTCGAACTTTTTCCAAGACAAGTGGCAAACAATTGGTAGTGTACCATTCTGCAGAAACTGTTTTTTGATCCTCTAACACAATTGTTGCAAAATGACCTATCCTTCCAAAGAACGAGGCCACCATTTTTTTTCCCGCACTTCGATCTCTCTTCACTTTAGTTGGCAACTCCTCGAAAGGAAACACCCACTGAGCAGATTGTCTTTTGGTTTTAGGATCATAACAGTAAATCCAGCTTTCGTCACCTGTTAGTATGTCGAACACAGCATTTGAGTCACCTCCGTTAAATCTTTCAATCATTTTACGACACCAATCCACACGATGGAGTTTTTGAGCCTCAGTCAAATTATGAGGTATCCACCGGGCGCAAAGCTTCCTGACCGCTAAATGTTCGTGGAGGATTTTGTGCACTTGACTCATACCGATGCCTAAGCTTGTCCGAATCTGTTGATAGGTCACTCTTTTGTCAGTCTCTATCATACGCCGCACAACACAGATGTTATCTTCAGTCGTCGCCGTAGAAGGCCGTCCCTCACGTAAATCATCAGTGAGATTAGTGCGACCACGTTTAAACTCATTAAACCAGTTGTAAACAGTCGCACGAGATGGGGCTTTATCGTGAAAGGTCAATCGTAGTCTATCATAACTTTCTTGTTGACTTAAATGACATCGAAAGTCATAAAAAATCATTGCACGAAAATTTTCTCGTGTTAAATTCATGATGACGTGACACAGACAATTTTCAATTTGCCGCCAAATCGTAAAACAAATGACAAATGAATGAAATATATACTCAGTAATATTGGCAAAGAGTTATATTTTCAAATTTTAGAATTATTTTTTTATTATATTGTTTATAAGTGGCCAGTTCTAAGAACTTTCAGTTTGACCCTCGTAGAATGGTGTCTGAGCAATGTCAAAGTTTCATATTGTTACTGTACCTATTTGAGTTTGTCTAAAAGTCAAGTTTTGTTTCGATTTTTATATCTCTGTGACAAATAAATAAAATTTTAATCAAGCTTGTTTTTATTTGTTTTTATGTCATATTTTGAGAGTCACTGAAGGTGTGGTTCTATTCGATGTAGCTCATAATTTTGGGGTCCGCGTAGACCAGGCGAAGAATGCTCGAGCATTTTTCTATTGATAGTATTACTCTAGATAACATCATGGTAAAATTATCTACGATAACACTCAATAGAAAAATGCTTAAGCATTCTTCGCCTGGCCTACGCTGACCCTAAAATTATGAGCTATATTGAATAGAACCACACCTTCATTAAAACTAAAATTATAGAAGTTATTGAATTAAAATAAACTACATTGACTGAATTTCACACAGTCTCATTTAAAAAAAACAATATCGTCTGGGTGAAACAACTAGACGTTTGTAGGAAACCTTTCGTGTTTAGAATCAAAACATTTGCGGCATTACTTTAATTTACTAATTCTTGTATCAAGACTTATGTGTTTAAATTCAAGATAATAGCATTATTGAATCACAGTTAATTTATTTGATACAATTTTCATTTTCTCTCTAATAGAAAAAACGGTTCTCTTCGCTGAAGATTACATATTTTCTAGTAAACACAGGGTTCTCTAAAACCTACACGTTATGATTTTACAAAAATATTACCTTGTTTTAGACAAAAATAATGTTCATATAAATGAAAAGACGCTAATTTTAGAACATAGTACACATAGTTTAATATAAAAAAATCATAATATAGAATTAAGATAATCATTCTTTTGATTCGTCTGACACATTCTCTTGAATTAAAATTTCATTCTCTTAAAAGGACTGCATCTAATCTTGTGTCATATTATATGTTCTCTAGAATAAAAATTATCTAATTTTTAATTGAATATCTGACAATTTAAATGAAATTGAAATTAATCAACAGAAATACAGCAATTTTACAGATGAAGTAAATGTTTACTAATACCAATAGTCTTTGACATTTTGGTCTATGCAATTACTAGTTTCTTGGAACAATCTTTCAAGTTTTTATTGCTTCAAAAGAATATTATTTACACTTAAGGTCATATTTTTAAGACAACCGAAATCTGGAGAGAAAACAACCATGATTTCGGATATATATGAATTAATATTTTTTTGATTTGATGGAGGTTATTTAGCACGAAGAAATTAGTTTTTACCGTGTAAGTTTCATCAGTCACGCTATAAACGATACTCGTTTTAGGGTTCCGTACCCAGAGAGTAAGACGGTACGAGATGGGTTACTAAGACCATAAAATAAATTTATTTTTGATTTATTTGCGATTTTCATACATAATGGTACAGAACTCTTTGTGCGTTAGCCCGACTCACGCTTGGCCAGGTTTTATATGTTTATACTCTTTATTTATCTCCTTAGAAACCTTTAAAATATTTCTTCTAATAAACGTTTTGGTAACCCTAGTGTTATATTCCATTTTCTCAGGTAAAATCTAAAATTCTGTAGTTTAGGTATAAAAAGGATTGACGAGAAATAAACAGCTGTTCTATTGCGATCATTTTAGCATCATTTTTCTGTCATTATAGAGTCAATAAAAGTGTCAGCTGGCTTTCATAGCATCGGCTCGACTACTATTACAATGGCGAAATGTATGGATGTGGTACACAATGCCCCTTTTCATGGACTCTTTTCTATGACAAAGAGGTTTTTGTAGGCTTCGCATGGTCATGGTGATTCATCATCCAATAAGGAATGCGAACTTTTACGTTACGAGGCCGTCAATTTTTTTTATTGTTAAACTCTTGCCTTTTTGGCGAAAAAGGTCTGATATGTGTCAAAAAGTTTGGTCACTATAACTTTAGGAATGTAAATAGTTTACGCCCAGTTGTAAAAACGGTCTTTTCGGTTTAGAGAGGACTTTAAGAAATTTGTATCAGTAATGTCACTTAAGTAATGACTGGGCATAGCTTTATAATGGTCTCGGATTTACGACTTCAAGCCGGGGCAGATATTTGTTGGTAAGCCCCAAATTTCATTAATACAGATCGAATTTTTATGAAAATATTGACGATTAAAAATCGACATTTTTACTATCGACTAATTGACATGATAGGATCTAGATGAAAAATGTTACCCAGTTCTAGATAAGCTAGAAACTTCAAATTTTGCTTCTACCTTTTACTCGGAAATTAAATATTTATCAGAATAGAATATTAATAACAATATTCTTTCAAATTGCGAATGAAATAGATATAGAATGAAATGAAATACATACGAAGCATGTTAAAATAAGCAGTCCTACTTTAGACAATGTGTAGGTGGATCTTAAGTTGTTTGATTTATTTTACACTAGCTTTCGCCAGCGGCTTCGCCCGCGTGGACCCTAAGGAAATGTTTAGTGAGATAAAAAGTATCCTATTATCTAAGTCAGCTAATACCCTATCTGTACACCAAAATTTCATTAAAATCCGTTTAGTAGTAGCGGCGTGATTGACGGACAAACATCCAAACAAAGAAACTTTCACATTTATAATATTAATAGGATAAGAATGTTTAACGATCTTTTATTTAGGTACTTAAATAAATTTCAAGATTGTCAATTGAACTTGGCATCCGTTTACTTAAAACAATACTTTTGTCGGTGGAACCTATGGTGGCCGATAATCATATTGAACATTGAGCTAGCTATCAACTATTACATTTCAGGTTTTAGATGGGATTCAATATAATTAATCAATCAAATAAGTATCTATCTAGACCGCGACAAAATTACAAAACAATTGTCATCTTATTCTATCGTAAACTATCGTCGCAACTGTCCCTTTCGCTCGTAATAATCGCCCGCGCATTGTTGAATGAATGACCGTTGCATGTTGCGTGCATGCAGCAAGCGCGAGCGGCTAGTGGCCGACAACGAATCAAACCGAAAACAAATTAGTTGCACCTAAGCAGTTCGGGAGTGAGGGTGTGTCACTTTGCTCCAGAAATATTTACGATCGAAGTTTGATAATAATAACAGTGAACTGTGTTTTAGTTTTGTTTATATACTTCAGTTATAAGATATTCAATAATAACTTGTGCATTTGCAAATGGTTCGTGTAAGTTGTGATTTTAAATCCACATTTTGTTTAGTTTTAAAAAAGTATTTTTCTTACATTCTTGGTGTTTCATTTGGGAAATTAATGAGTGCAGTGAAGAATAGTAGAATTACTAAGGTATTTTTTTACATGTATATTTTTAAGCATGTTTAGTTTAATTTTTTTAACATAGTTAATAGGTAGGTATTTACCTACTACAATTAGATAGTATTATTTCTACTTTAATATTAGTGTACTCAAAAGTGATTGGAAGAATGATCGAATAAGATCAATAACATCACACATACCTAGATTAAAAATAAAAAGGCTATCATTTCGTAATTGGTAAGCGACTATTATTGGATTGTCATAGGTATATTTGAATACCAATAGATGGCGATGTTGTGGTGTATATTTTTTATTTAAAAAAAAAACGTAATATTCATTGTAAAGATTTTTTCCGTGTAAAGATCCGTAATATCCATTTGTTATGAGTATATCCTTTGTATGCATGTCAAGTTACTTTGAGATTTATACAAATACCTATATTTGTATTATTTAAATCGCTGATATTTTCTAAACAAAATCTACAGCGTTACATACCTACTTTCAAGGAATATTGAATACTAGCTTTTGCCGGCGGCTTCGCCTGCGTTGTCCTATAATATACCTATATAGGTATAAACCTTCCTCTTTAATTATTAAAACCCGTTGTGTATTTTAAAACTTTTCAGCATACAAAGAGCGGGAAACTTTGTTTTCTACAATGTAGGACAAATAATTTAAAAAAATGAAACTCATCTAATTAGGCCACTAACAACATCTATCGGCACTCAAAAAAGCGCCATCAAGTTAGACGAAAGAAACTGATAAATCCTGTACGACCTTAATTCATTTCAAATAAAAATTTCATTAATGAATTTTAGACATATCGCCGGATAACCGTTTAAGTTATTTCCTTATTCGATTAAGAAATTAACTGTTTTTTTTTTCTAATTAACCCGGGGCTGCGTGATTGTGTAGGAAATGGTATAATATAAACGTAGGGGGCGTCTTGCGGTTCAAGGTAACTGTAACATAAACATCCAAGTCGAGTCAGCAAACATTTCATTTCCTGACTGTATACAAACTTCGTGGAACATGTTCTTGATAAAATGGCCGTTATCAAACCTAAGGCGCCTGTTGGCAGGTGATCAAACTCCATGCTGATAACTAAAGTAGACACTCATCAGAGACCACAATATGTCATATTACCGCTGTTGAATTTTAAATTTGAATGTTTATTGTGTCAAATCAAGTGTAGTGATAGTATTTTGTAAACTGACGTTGACTCATTGCCTGACTGCACTACAGTAATAAATGGTTGACCTTCCGGACGTTTCTGTCGGAAAAAAACCTATATGATGTGTTTGTCCGAATTTGATCTGCACTTTGTGTTACTCGATGATGCAGTGGTTAGCGCGATTGGTCTGTGATACGGTTGTTAAAAATTTTCGCAATGGTCGATAGGTGGCCAAGAATTGATTATCTCGAGTTCCACCTTGTTTTGGTGGTGCAGTATGCGGTCGTTAACACCCACCAACCCACACTGGGCCCGCTGGTGATGATGCAGGGTTTTTTATTAAAAAGATCGTATTTTTTCTGCTAGTTTGTAATTATAAATTGAATAAAAATCAAAAAATAGTGCACAAAAATCAATAACTTTCGTATTGGTTACGTACAAAGAAATATCATTAAAAATAATCTGGAATTAAATTGAGAAAAGAGGATATGGGAATACATGAATTTATAGAAAAAAAAAAACACAAAATTACCCCTAATATTTTTAAAGTCGGTCCAGTAATTTTAAGGCCTATTAAATGAAAATAAACAAACAATCTTAACTCTTTTAAATATTATATAACTTGTATAATAAGGTTATAACTAAATCCATTACTCGTTTTGAAAATGATGCTCTTGTTAAAAATTATTATCAAGCCAATTTTAATTGTCTATTACAAAACTTTAAAACTCCTTTTTGTTTGTTTCAGGACCTGAACGCTATGCTGAAAATCATTTTCTGAAACTTAATAACTCAGTGTAAAAAATATGTGTAACTGAAGTGTCGTGAG